GTATGTGGCTGGTGCCTTAGCCGCTTGAGCTACAGGCGCTGAGCCAGTTTCTCACTATTAATAAAAGCTTTGTGCCCAGTAACCAGTCATGATTTAATGGGAAGAACTTAGCCTTGGGAGTGAAGGATCCTAGGTTTCCCTTTCAGCTCTTCAGTACTCTTCAAAATCTCTGTCCTCATTATCCATATATCTTCCTACTTGTGAGACGCAAGTGGAACCATAGATTTAAAAAGTAAAAAAATGCCGTTTGAACTTGAAACAACTTACTGTTTGCTGTAATGGTTACAGTAATAAACTCATGCATTAAAACATTGTGGCCTAGGCATTACCCCCTGCTAGCCTTAAAATTTGCCCTAATGTTGAAAGGGATGCTGTAAATTTGGATAACCAATGATTCTTTAGCAGTAGAATTAACTGCAATATGGAAAATTTGTGGCTAGGTGTGGTGGCTCATGCCTGTAATCCTAGTGCTCTGAGAGGCCGAGGCAGGTAGATTGCATGACCTCAGGAGTTTGAGACCAGCCTAAGCAAGAGCAAGACTACATATCTATTAAAAAATAGAAAAACTGGGCAGCTCTGGTGGCTCATGGAGTAGGGCGCCAGCCCCATATAACAGGGGTGGCGGATTCAAGCCCGGCCCCAGCCAAAATTGCAAAAAAAAATAGAAAAACTGACCAGGTATTGTGGCAGGCTGTACTTGAGAGGCTGAGGTGGGCGGATCACTGGAGCCCAGGAGTTTGAGGTTGCTGTGAGCTATGATACTATGGCACTCTGTCCAGGGTAACTGAGTGTGACTCTGTCTTTAAAAAAAAAAAGAAATTTGTACCAAACAGTAAAGGTGAAAAATACTTCTAGATGCTATTTAATTTGCATTCCCATACTCCTGTCCTCTTTTTGTTCTTCTGTTATTCCTTTAATTTTTACCATTCTTTATTGATTCTGGGAAGCAGTATCATTTAATGAGTAAGAGTATTGAACTTAGTACCAAAGTTGCTGGATTCATAGCCCATGGTTTGCTACTTACAAGCTGTGTGAATGTGGGAAAGCTAGCTTTGCTTTCTGGGTCCCAGATCTACCATATCTGAAGGGGAAATAGCCAGGCACAGTGGCTCATGCCTGTAATCTCAGCACTTGGGAGGCCAAGGTGGGAGGATTGCCTGAGCTCACAGGTTCCAGATCAGCCTGAGCGAGACCTCATCTTGAAAAAAATAGCTGGGCATTGTGGCAGGCACCTGCAGTCCCAGCTACTTGGGAAGCTAAAGCAAGAGAATCGCTTAAGCCCAGGAGTTTGAGGTAGCTGTGAGCTGTGATGCCAGGGCACTCTACCGAGGGTGACAAAGTAAGACTGTCTCCCAAAAAAAAAAAAAACAATTCTAAAAAAAATTAAAAATAAAGGGGAAATAATAATACTATCTATGTAAAGGTTGTGAAGATTATGTATGAAAAATACATAGAGCATTTCCAGGGACATAGTGTTATAAAACTATTAACTCTTATTATTATTGCTGCTGCTGTTAACTAATACATGTATGTCTCCTATATTTGACCAAATTACTTGGAGCACTAATGTATACTCATCAACATGTGTATGCCATTTCTATTACTTTAATGGAACCATCTATAAGCTAGGGTTGTATATTCCTTTTTAAAAATCTGGTTGTCTTTATATATATATATATATATATATATGTATGTATATATGTATGTATGTATTTTTTATGTGTCTGCAGAAGTAGATGCATGTGAGTATTCCATACACACTAAGACTTCTGAAATTCAGTCTTGGAACTAGAGGAGAAGCAACATTTTCCATTTTATAACCACTACCTGAAATTTGTACTATTATTTTGACTGCTTTATACCAAGGAAAACAAGTAAATAAAAGACAGCTGGGAAGGCGGCACCTATGGCTCAAAGGGGTAGGGTGCTGGCCCCATATGCCGGAGGTGGCCGGTTCAAACCCAGCCCTGGCCAAAAACTGCAAAAAAAAAAAAAACCAACTGGGATTCAAACCCAATTATGTCTCATTCTGAAAAACCATTTTTTTACTATTATGTGCTAAATACACTGCTTCCCTCGAATATTCACATGAACATAGCCTAAGAATTCGTTTTGCTTTTTTAGCATTTGTGCATGGTACTTGGTATATTAATAATTGAAAATCATATATTTTGTTCATGTTTTCCTAGCTTATGCTTGATACATGGAATGAGTCAATCTTTTCAAATATAAAGAACAGACTCCAAGATAGTGCAATGAAATTGGTACATGCTGAAAGACTGGGAGAAGCTTTTGATTCTCAGCTGGTCATTGGAGTAAGAGAATCCTATGGTATGTTCTGAACTTTTATGACTGTAATTTCTCATTCGTGGAAATTCTAGGATAATTATAGGATAGTACTATCAGAGTTATGATAGTTAGCATATGAAGTTTTGTGCTAGATGTTTTTCTTAAGGAACACATAAATGATATCTATTCTGCCTAAAGAAACCTGTAAAAATTTATGTTAATGTTAATATTTATTTTCTCCATATACTTCTTGGCTGAAAATCTTTGTAGTGCCTTAAGTCAGAGAAAAAAGTAACTAGCTCATAAAAAGGTTTTATATTTATGTTTTCAAGAGGTATGTTACTTCCATGTGTACTTCTCTCCTAACTTCTTAGCTTCTGACAATGATATTCACATTTATTTCCTCTGATTTAGAATATTGTTCTTCTCCCCTCTTCTTCATCTAACTTATCCTCATCCTCTATTTCTTCACGGTGGCCCTTCCTAATTCCCAGACTAGATTATGTCATCTTGCTGAGTACTTCATATTACCTTTGCTTCATTGACCTGATACTTTTGTTTAATTGTCTTGTTGACACTGTGTCTTTTCTGAACACACAATGCCTGTCACAAAATCACTCTCGGTAAGTATTTCTTGAATTAATGAAGCTCTAGAGTTACTTGAATGTCTTTTTCTCTATTACCCCCATATTTTTTAGTAAGTGTTTTCGGTTTTTATTAGCAGTGTCCTTTAAAAATTTTTTCTATTTCCTTGATCCTGAAATTTATTTATTTTTTTCTTTGAGACAGAGTCTCACTCTGTCGCCCTGAGTAGAGTGCTGTAGCATCATAGCTCACAGCAACCTCAAACTCTTTGGCTTGAGCAATCCTCTTGCCTCAGCCTACCAAAGGATCAGACACCCACTACAGCATCTGGCTAGTTTTTCTATTTTTAGTGGATACAGAGTCTTGCTCTTCCTCAAACTGGTCTCTGAACTCCTGAGCTCTAGTATCTACCCATCTAATCCAGAGTGCTAGGATTACAGGCAAGAGCCACCATGCCTGGCCAAAATTTATTCATTGTTATTTGTTTTGTTTTGTTTTTGAGACAGAGTCTCAAGGGGTTGCACTGGGTAGAGTGCCATGGCATCATACCTCATAGCAACCTCAAACTCCTGGGCTTAAGCAATTCTCTTGCCTCAGCCCCCCAAGTAGTTGGGACTATAGGCGCCTGCCACGACTCCTGGCTATTTTTTATTGCAGTTGTCATTGTTTTTTTTTTAGCTGGAGCAGGCTGGGTTCAAACCTGCCACCTTTGGTGTACGTGGCTGGTGCCATAACCACTGGGCTACAGGTGCCGAGCCTTTGTTTTGTTTTTTTTGAGATAGAGTCTCAAGCTGTTGCACTGGATGGAGTGCTGTGACATCATAGCTCATAGCAACTTCAAACTCTTGGACTTAAGCGATTCTCTTGCCTCTGCCTCCCAAGTAGCTGGGATTACAGCGCCTGCCACAATGCCCAGCTATTTTTTGGTTGCAGTTGTCGTTGTTTAGCAGACCCAGACCAGGTTCGAACCCTCCACCCTCTGTGTATGTGGCCGGCGCCCTGCCAACTGAGCTTTTTTTATTCATTGTTATTTGGACTGCAACCAGTTTAGACCTCTTTAGACTGTACATGTAGACCAGAGGTGTCCACCCTTTTTTGTTTCCTCTGCTGCACGTTAGAAGAATAAGAGTTGTCTTGGACCACACATTAAATGTACAAACACTCAGGAAAGCTGGTTAGCAAAAAAAAAACAAAGGTCCATGCATACTCTTCCTGATATCTGACCTCATAGGTAAGAAAAAGTCATTGTAAAATCAACATGTAGCCTGCTGGCCACAGGTTGAACACTCCTGATTTGAAGTAGGCTTCTTATTGCTATCATTTAGTCTATAAACTGTTTGTAAGATTAATTTTTAAGTACTATTAATGTTTTTCCTGGTTGCCTCTTAAGTGGTGCATCATGCTAAATTCAGGTTACTTAATTTGTGATTTGAGGCTCTCCATGACCATTCCTAATGTACCTTTCTACATTAACTTTCTACATTAACCTTGTAAGGTACTTAGACAACATATTTACTATAACTTGTGCTTTTCTGCTTCTGAATATTTTATTTACCTTACTAATTACTATCTATGCAAATCCTAGTTTATTCCTTGTGATTCAATTTAAATTCATATCTTCTATGAATTTTTGGTTGATCATCCAGTTAGAATTCTGTCTCTTTCCTATTCACAAATAATAATCTATATTATCTGTACTACTTGTTAGCTTACTGCTTTGTGCTGCTATTTTTTTTAAGTTCCTTATGAAGAAGGATTTTGTCTTATATGGCTATACGTTTTCTTGAGTGTTGTTATCCTCAATATTTATTTCATTTATTATACTCAAAATACTGGTTTAGATCATAATTAGAGTAAAATTTTATTTTCTGTTTTTCAGTTAACCTTTGTTCTAATCCTGAGGATAAGCTTCAAATTTATAGGGACAATTTTGAGAAGGCATACTTGGATTCAACAGAGAGATTTTATAGAACACAGGCACCCTCGTATTTACAACAAAATGGTGTACAGAATTATATGAAATATGTAAGTCAAACTTAGTATATGTGATAATTTGAGGTATTCCCTTGCTTTTCTTAAAATGATTGCTATTTTGCTTCTGGGCAGGCAGATGCTAAATTAAAAGAAGAAGAAAAACGAGCACTACGTTATTTAGAAACAAGACGAGAATGTAACTCTGTTGAAGCAGTAAGTAATTTCTTAATTGTACATTTTATAAGATTTTAAGAAGCACAGGAGTGGCAAATACACGACACAAATAACATTATCTTGTGTCGTATCTCTGACCCAGCATTACTAATTGACTATAGTACCCTGTCCCAGTGAACCAAAGCCCAGCTTCAAGAGTCACCTTAGTCAGAACACAATGTTCTTCAGAGACATTGTGCAAGATAAATCTGTTTGCCATCCCTAGTCTAGACTTTAATGTACTTAATTTTTAATCAGTAGTCTCCTTTATTATCTTTTATGTGTGTCTAAAATTAACCATTTTAGTAATTTTCGTGTTGCAAGTAAAATGTGCTCCTTGTAGATAGAGTTGATTCTTATTTATCACAGCAATTATATTTGATAACGTGGCTATGAATACTGAATTAGTAAATACTGAACTATTACTCCTATGGGACATTTCTTCTTGTCCTAAGAAGCTGTTTCAAACTTCATCTTTTCATGAGATAAAATATTAGTTATTCGATGAGAGAACATCAGCTTTTTATAGTGTTGTTTTATTTATTTTATGTTTATTATTTAAGATCCTCATTTAAACAAAAACTAATCAAAAGTAGTAGACATATTAGGTATTTTATTTTATATAGAGAACTACCCTTGTGTGCTTTAGTAAGGAAAGTAAGAATCAAGTTTGGAAAGAGTCTTGGAATCGTTTCTTCCAGTTTCTTTCAGTCTTTGGAGCCTACGAACTAAATTTAGATTTATATTCAAAAAAGTTAGCATTCTATCTTACCTGTAACCTAACATTTTTCACCTATAGTTGGAATTTTTAAAAAAATTTTACTTCTTATTTTTCTTTGGCTTCTTCTATCTTGAATAATAGTCATGTTTATTTTATTTCTTATTCAGAAATCATGCTGAGTTGGATCTTTTTTCCTTTGTGGTTTGGGTTTCTTTTTTGTTTTTTTTCTGTTTCATGATTTGTAGTACATGTCCTCTTTTAATGGTTAAGTTCTTTATAAAAATTTAAAACCAAACTTGATCTTTACTCCAAAGGCAATACAAGTTTGCCATGTCGTGTCTTTGACCATGGCAAACTTGTATAAAAAATATTCTATTATCACTCAGAAAGATTAATTTTGTGATGATAAAGATCAATCAGAATAGGAAAGAGGGTGAATAAGAAGTAGAACATGGCTCGGCGCCTATAGCTCAACCGGCTAAGGCGCCAGCCACGTACACCTAAGGTGGCGGGTTCGAATCCCCAGCCCGGACCCGCCAAACAACAATGACGGCTGCAACCAAAAAATAGCCGGGCGTTGTGGCGGGCGCCTGTAGTCCCAGCTACTTGGGAGGCAGAGGCAGGAGACTCGCTTGAGCCCAGGAGTTGGAGGTTGCTGTGAGCTGTAATGCTACAGCACTCTACTCAGGGGGATAGCTTGAGGCTCTGTCTCAAAAAAAAAAAAGAAGTAGAACATGTTTGTGATAATTCAAACAAGGTATTAAGAGAACCAAATACAGCTATAGGAGTAGGAATAGAAAAGACAAGGGTAGAGGAAAAAAAATTTCTTAGTGGTAGATCATATGAATGGGGCGAGATATTGCAGAGAATCCAGCCAATGATTTTTGAGAGTTTTCAGCTTGGGAAAACTGTACTGTTACAGAAAGAATAGGTACAAAATGTCTTTTTTTTCTTTCTTTTTTTTTTTTTTTTTTGAGACAGAGCCTCAAGCTGTCACCCTGGTTAGAGTGCGTGGCATCACAGCTCACAGTAACCTCCAACTCCTGGGCTCAAGCGATTCTCCTGTCTCTGCTTCCCAGGTAGCTGGGACTATAGGTGTTGCCCATGCCTGGCTATTTTTTGGTTGCAGCCATCATTGTTTGGCGGGCCCGGGCTGGATTTGAACCCACCAGCTCAGGTGTATGTGGCTGGTGCCTTAGCTGCTTGAGCCACAGGCGCCAAGCCCAAAAATATGTCTTAATGAGGGAAAAAGAAGAGTTTAGTTTGGGGTATTTGAATATTTTTAGTACAATGATATACTTATAGCACCTAGGTGGGGATGGCTATGGTTTTGTAAGGTGAAATTGTTTTCTTCCTTTGTTCCAATTTATATAGCTTAGTTGTATCATATGTACGTTATGAATATTCAACTATAAAGGACCTACTAAAAAAGACAAAAAGAATAAGAAAATGAGAAAGGCAGACAGAAACAAATACAAAGTTTGTATGGAACTTTAAAAAACACACAGGCTGGACACAGTGGCTCATGCCTGTAATCCTAGCACTATGGGAGGCCAAGGCAGGTGGGTTGCTTGAGCTCAGGAGTTCAAGACCAGCCTGAGCAAGAGTGAGACCCAGCCTCTACTGAAAGTAGAAAAATTAGCCAGGCATTGTGTCAGTTGCTAATGCAGTTAGTTACCTAATGCAGTTGCTATATTGTTTGTACAGCAAATTTTGGTGCAGAGGACACATCAAGCACCAAAACTATAGGATTAATTATAACATTGGGCGTTTAAGGCTTAATGCAGATGCTTACATTATTACATACCTCACTGAGCTAAGGGGGCCTTATATTCTATACCTATTACTTATTAAATATTCATTCACAATTTTTGTTTCCACAGAGAAATGATTTGTTAAAATGAAGTATGGTGTGATGGAAGGAGCAATAAACTAAGAGATTACTAAGTCCTGGATTTTAATTTAATATGAACAAGATATGATGAGCATTATATGAATAGTTAGGGAAAAAAATCACATATCTATTTTTCACATATGATACAAAAACTATCAGAACACTTGTAAAATTCTCTCTTAGAAGAATTATTAGTCATCACAGCATGCTATGATGTATCTTAATGCTTTATTGATATTAATCTCAGTCTGAACTTACCTATTAGGTATTCTCATTAATGGAGAATTATAAGGTAAGGAGAACATATTTACTATTAAAATCACTTCATATAAAGCTACATAATAATGCAGGCCAGGTATGGTGGCTCACACCTGTCATTCTAGCACTCTGGGAGGCTGAAGCAGATAGATTGCTTGAGCTTAGGAGTTTGACACCAGCCTAAGCAAGAGCAAGAACCCATCTGTAAAAATAGCTGGACATTGTGGCAGGTGCCTGTAGTCCCAGCTGCCTAGGAGGCTGAGGCAAGAAACATCACTTGAGCCCAAGAGTTTGAGGTTGGCTGTGAGCTATGATGCCAAGGCACTTTAGCAAGGGTGACTGTGTCTCAAAAACAAAACAAAACAAAAACAAAACTGCATAATCACATCAGAATTTAAAACTAAAGTATGTAAATTTTTGGCTGTTAGCTAATTCTCTGAAAATTAGCAAATTATAGTTTATTAGTTATATTTTTTGAATTTAGTTTATATAAATCAGTTTTCTAAACTTGATTAATTTTTAATATACTAAATGAAAGCAAGTTTCTGTACCTATCTTTAATATAAAGAGCAAGTTGTAATTATATGGTACCCAGTTATGAGGCCAAGCCTAATAACCAGGTGTACATTTCAAGTAATAGTCATATAGTATTTAGTCAATTTCTAAATTCTTTTATTGTTTTGTAAGTTTTATTTCATTCTCTTGAGTATTCCAAACATCTGATTACATCATCTGAAAATAGTAATGCTTTCTTTATCCTTTCAAATAATCATACCTCCTATTTCTTTTATTTAACTAATTCATTAGTGCTTAGCTTTAAAAAAGTGTAAAATAATATTGAGGATCCTGGGTGGCTCCTATGGCTTAGTGAGTGGGGCACTGGCCCCATATGCCGAAGATGGTGGGTTCAAGCCCAGCCCCGGGCAAACTACAGCAAAAAATAGCCGGGCGTTGTGGCAAGTGCCTGTGGTCCCAGCTACTCAGGAGGCTGAGACAAAAGCATAGCCTAAGCCCAGGAGCTACAAGTGCTGTGAGCTGTGACGCCATAGCCCTCTACCGAGGGCAACAGAGTAAGACTGTCTCTAAAAAAATCTATATGTGTGTGTGTATATATATAGAGAGAGGATTCTTGTTTTCTTCCTTTCTTTAATGAAAATGTTTCTAAATTTTTACCATTAAAGATAATGTTGGTTTTGGCATAATGTATAGTCCCCATTTTACTATCTTAAGAAAATACTCAATTAGTATTTTATCAAAACTGATATTAGAAATCTATATGCTTTAGTCTTTCTTTTTTGTTGTTTGTTTTTGAGACAGAATCTCACTTTGTCACCCTCGGTAGAGTACTGTGGCATTACAGTTCACAGCAACCTCAATCTCCTGGGCTCAAGCAATTCTCTTGCCTCAGCCTCCCAAGTAGCTGGGACTACAGGTGCCTGCCACAATGCCTGGCTACTTTTAGAGATAGAGTAGTCTCACTCTGGCTCAAGCTAGCCTCAAACCTGTTAGCTTAGGTGATCCACACACCTGGGCCTCCCAAGTACTGGGATTACAGATGTGAGCCACCGCACCCAGCCTATATGCTTTAGTCTTAAGGCCAGTTTCTTAATTTTATAGAGAAACACTAGAGGCATTTCCACTAACATCATGAATAAGGCAAGGATGCCCACTGTTTCTACTACTAATTAACGTTATGGTAGAGTGATACCAGCCAGTACAGTTAGACAATAGAAGTCAATTAGAGGCATAAGAATCAGTAAGCAAGCTAGGCACAGTATTACGCACCTGTAGTTCCAACTATTCGAGAGGCCGAGATGAAAAGATGGCATGAGGCTGGGTGCAGTGGCTCATGCCTGTAAACCTAGTACTCTGGGAGGCCAAGGCAGGTGGATGGCCTGACAGGTTCAAGACCAGCCTGAGCAAGTGCAAGAGCCTGTCTCTAAAAAAATAGCTGGGCATCGTGGCAGGTGCCGTTAGTCCCAGCTACTTGGGAAGCTAAGACAAGAAAATCACTTGAGCCCAAGAGTTTGAGGTTGCTATGAGCTGGTGATGCCACAGCACTCTACTGAAGGTGACAAACAGTATGATTTGACACATGAGTAATTAGTACTGTTTAATGTTGGTAAG